TATAGTATTAGTTCCAGGTTATTTTATCCCATATCACTTTTGGAGACCAAATGTTTGACACATTAGGTTTCTTTACACATACAATTCTTGTAAACATCATCCCAATGCAGAATATACTTTAACCAATTACCGCAACAGCTTATAACTTGTATCACAAAACATGTTTATCTAAAAGCCGAGACTAATGTTACTTGACCCCTTAGGTGTACGCAAAATCTTCAACAATCGATGCAATGTTTATTATAAAGCCTTTATATTTTTATATTTTAGAAACCACAACAACATTGAATCGTTAAGAACAAAATATGGAAAAGAATTGGACTATAATGGACAAAAAGTTATAGAAATCATTCTGCCTTTTGGTTCATTGTCAAGGTGAAAATATTGAATTGTAGGCACACAAAAGTTGGATTAGATACGCTCTTGATTTAATATTCTTTTATTGGCATTCATGTATTTTTTATAATAACTATCGTGAGACATACTAAATTAACTAAAAATCGCGGGTTACTCACGTGAATATACTGAGAAAAGCTCTTCTAGTTTCGAACCACAGAGGGGTTCTTCCTCAAGAGCAGCGTGCGCGGTCGCGGCGATGTCGCGCTTACTTAGCTTACCGTAGTAGTACTGTAGTAGAGCTTTTCTCAGCATATTCACGTGAGTAACCCACCAGTAGGCCCAATTACCCTAGTTCCCGTCCCTAGCCCCCGCTCCCCGATTTTGAAAGTACATAGACATGTCTAAGTTATGTTTTGATTACGACACCAATCATAAAAATACAGATTTTTACGCCACTCTGCTGCAATATTAATACATCTAGGTATTCAGTATAAGTCAGTGTCAAATATAACTTGGGTGTCTTTAAGTCCCGAGTGAACAGGTTGCTCATAGGTAGGCGTGCTCCATCGTCGGCCACATCATCACTTACCCACCACCACCACCGTCGCTTACTCGCCACCAGGCGAGATGGAGGCCAAACGTCGACCTATCTTTTTTATATATATAATTCTGCTGTACGTGTGTATATCATTGAACTCCTCCTAAACGGCTTGATCGATTTAAATGAATTTTTCTGTACGCTTTTGAGTGGCACCCTGGATAGTTTAGATTCACAAATCAGCCCGGCAGATGGCACTGCAGTCGGTGTCTAGGTTAGTTATCCTAAACGGCAAGTGGATATGCAGGACAACGTCTGTCGGCTCCGCTAGTTAAGTATAAAAAAATCAGTATATCTGAAGTTATTGTGAAATTATTTTTGTCGTGCTCTCATAAGCATCGGTACTAAGGAGTTCCTGCGATTGTATTCATGCTTTGTTGAATATAATTTGATTGAAAATGTTACAACAAAGCTTCCTTGCGAAGGAAAGTATGTTAGGCGTGAATGTACCACGTAAATCTTCTTTATAACTACTTTTATTTCATCCAATGTCTCACAAAGCTTCCATTATCCTTACTAATATTATAAATCTGAAAGTGAGTTTGTTTGTTTGTTTGTTCCACCTTCACGCCGTAACTACTCAACCGATTGCTTTGAATTTTTGCAGACGTAAAGTTAGAAGTCCGGATTAAATAATAGGGTACTTTTATATTCCCTAGGAAAAACAAAAGTATTGGTACAGATGGCGCTGTGTGTATTGGTATATGTCACATAGGCTACTTTTTATTCTTTTGTGGCGCGAGCGAAGCCGCGGGTAAAAGCTAGTAACTAATACAGATTTACTAGTACGTCTTATAGCCGGGCCCTGCAATCCTTCACGAATGCTCTTTGAATGAATCTTGAAGAAGAGGTAAAGCCTCAACGCATTACAGTTTTAATAGTACTTTTGAAACTGAAAAATGTAACCAAATAATTTATTATCTTTCAGTTGAGTAAATTAATCTCTATCTTATTTTTTGATCACAAATTCGTTACCCAGTTAAAATATTGTAATTAAAAATGGACTCGGTACATTAACTGCAATAATAATAATCCATTGTAGCAACAGCACATTAAGATATTTTGAAAATGAAGTGGTAACGGAATGCAATCATTTTGGCATTGAAAAATAAAATAATCTTTGCGTTATGTGAGATGATTGGTGATTTTTTTCTTAAGATCCATATATTATAAAAGAATGTTATCATTGTGATGTTACTGCAAATAAAAAGGAGTCTGTGCTGACTAAGATAAGTTCAATTTGAGAAGATGTTATTAAAGAAAGCTATAATTATAATTAGTCAAAGACAAAGTCAAAATCATTTATTTCAATTAGACGTCAAAACAATTGAACGTCAAAACAAAATATTGGAATATTAAAAACTGTTCGTCTGTCAGTCAGTCAGTCTAGTGAAGCCATTTGGTCGTTCCAAAGTGTAAATTCCTATGGAGAAAACGAGCAAGAAACTCTATAGGTTACTCTTTTTCAATCAGGTTCACAATACAATTATTGACACGTTAACCGGGGACCGGACGACTTGCGTTTAAACAATTTTCAATCGGCTGTCAAAGGCTTAAATTGGAGGACCATATATTATATTCTGCGAAGAACACTGAATATAGAGTACGTTGGTAGATAGTATGTACAATAATTCTTTTATGATCTACGTTTTTAAAAACCTACTGCACCGCCTCTTTTTTTTGAAGTCGGTTAGTTACTATAGTAAAACGTTCTCCTAAGTGTAACAAACACTTTTCTGAAAATCACATCGAAATAGGTTCCACCAATCACGAGATAATCACCCACAAATAATACATATATCCTATTTTTGAAGTCTGTTAAAATATCTGTATAGGTATGTACTGTACACTACTACTTAGTAAAATGTTTAACCTAATGATTGATACAGACGACCTTGCAAGTTGTTACCAATTAAGTAGTTATAATCAACACTTTTAAGATAAAATGTAAGCGTAGTTATTACAGACAAACCTTCGCAGTTAAATGAAATGGTATAAGCAGTACTTATAATTTAATACTTTGAAACACATTAGTGCATATTAATCGCTAATGGCACCCACTAAAGATGTATAATAACATTGGATAAAATATATTGTGTTACTCACGAGATTTTTATAATTCAATTTCATGTTTTCAAGGACAATTATATTTGAATCTGTTAGAATGTTTACCATCATCATAACATTAGAGATTAAAATAAAAACAATACTTTTTTCGACCCAGTACTCGAACCCGAAACCCCTTGCCCGGCAATCGCACTTGCGACCACTCGGCCAACGAGGCAGTCTGCCAACAAGGTTACTGATTGTTTTATTATATTGAGATGTTATAAATTAAACTGTATCCTGAAGAAGGGTTAGGTAGACTTTACCTCTAGTGGGTGTTACATAGTAGGGTGGCATTAAGTGCGACAATATGCCCCTCTGCCAACCCCTTCGAGGACAAAAGGCGTGATGTTCTATTATGAATCAGTAACCGTACAACTCTTTCTTCTTTGCATAATTGTACCGGATTTAAAATTTAAACTATCATTTATTACTTAGAATGGTTAATCGATTCGACTTTAGACTTTCTGCCGATTAAGTATATTATGCAATCTAGATTGTTATAGTCTTACAGCATTTAAATTTCTGATTGATGTTAGGCATTTAGATAAGTTGGCAAGGGCAAGGGCCTCGGGTTCGGTTCCAGGGTCGGGCAAAGTATTACTGAGTTTTTAAAAATTATTTCATTAGAGTAGCACGGAGGGATTGTGCATGGCATATGGCAACAGGTTCACCCCCTATTCATAAATAATGAAAAGTGGGTCTTATATTGTACAGTGGCGTTAAGTGACATAATGTGCGCATCTGCCTACCCCTTCGGGGATAAAAGGGGTGATGTTATATTATGTTAAATTGAGGTCTGGAATAATACAAGCTAGTTTTCATTCCGCAATTAGTAAGCAGTCGTTAGGCCTGACTCCTTTAAAAGAATATAAGAGAATTGAAATATATACCTAAACATATCATTACAAAATACCCTTTATTTTCTTAAGGTAGGCAAACGGATACCATAAAAAGTAGGTACTAAGATTTCCAAGACAAACTTCCTTTCTTAAAGTTGAATCTTCATGTTACAATTACGTCCACTCGACCTAAGAAGAAGTTTATCAAAGAAGGCGCAGCTGCAATACATACAAATTCTAAGTAATCTTCATTCACATTCTAAGCACCTGCGTGTTTACTATCATAAACTGTAATAGCATTCAGTTTATAGCAATTCTAAGCACTATTAAATATTATTTAACGTTACATCTGTTAGGTAACCTCTTAGATAACATTGAACAATTAAAATTTATAGAAAAATAAACTGAAAGAACAGTTTTAATTATTTTTGATACGACGCATATTTGATGTTTTAACTACTATTTGGTAGTTTATATATTTGAAAAGAAGATTACGTCGTTGTTAAAAACAAGTATCAGGCTCGTTTCTAGGATTGGGATCCTGGAATGAATGAAGTATTTATTATTGTTTTATTATGTTTTAATTTTCATTCTACTATTATCAAACTGTGCATTGTAAAACATACATTCTCTGGAATCGTGTTCAGCGTACATAGCAATAAGTTCACCTCTATACCTAGATACCTAACGGGTTACCGGGCTCCGGCTCGACGTGCAGGAGAAGGAACGGGGTGGTTTTTAGTGAGTAAGAGTCTGACACTGCCTCCCGCCTCACCCAGGCGGGAGCAGGCATTCGATGATTTTCCTCCCTTAAAAAAATTAAAAAAATACCTAAATTAAAATGTATGTTACATTAAACATGATTATGCATATTTAGCTCCCCGTACCGGGAATATAATTATATTAATTACGCATACATTTAATCCATACCGTCTTCTAAAAAGGGTACATATTTTTTTTTCTTAGATGACCAACACTTTAACCGCTGTGCATTCAACCGTAAAACGGTTGATAGAAAGTGTTATAAATTCGTTTTCTTTCTTATAAGAAGCTGAATGACATCGTGGACGCCATTGCTGTACAGTTCATTTACACTATAGTACAATAGTTTTGAAATGGAGACTAAAATACTGGTGAGTTTAGTTTTTTATTTAATTTTAGTGTGTTAGCATTTGTTATAGGTTTTTTGTAATGCTTTAGAAGTATTCATCTAGTAAATTGTTGATGTAATGTCAGGCGTTTGAAAATAAACAAGACAAATAAATAAACAATAGTAAGGTATATGATTTTCGCACAGGTAAGTATTACTTTAGATTAATTAAAAAATATTTTATGCTGTCTGAAACACAGTCTTCAATAGATCAGTTGAAACATTTTTCAATATATTTCTGGGTACCATTCCTTTACCTCTATTTATTAAATATTATGACTGTTTACTCTCTTTAATTGGCAAATGGAAATAAATCATGTTTTTATTGTTTTTCCTGTCGAAGGACTGCAGGAAGAGATTCCTACGGGAATATGTAGTGCCTATGTACTTACCTCCAAATTATTTATATATGTATTCTCCTGTGTTCTGTCTGTGTGTTGTGCATAAATAAATTTAATACTCAACAAATAGTTATTAAAGTATTGTATACGGTTAACAAAATAATATAGTTAATAGTTAAAACAACTTTTATTCTAAATACAATAATCACTAAAAGACACAAGTACAGTAACAAAGCTCATAACACATTGCACACAATTTACAACTGCAAAATTTATTCTCCTATCTAATTATCATAAATTTCATAAGTCACGTGTTTGCAATTAATCAAGTTATGAGTAATTAAACACCTACTGGCCTTAGACATTAAGATTGTGTAATTAAATTGTAATTGTTCGTGCATACATTAATTGTAACTGGTTGACACTAGTTAGTTGTAGTAGGTACTTTCTAGATCACATTTTGTGAAACATTAATTTTTACCCGCGGCTTTGCCCCAACCCTAATAACAATTTGTCGCGGAGAACCTAACGGGTAACCGGGGCTCCGGCTCGGCGAGCAGGAGAAGGAACGGGGTGGTTTTTAGTCAGTAAGAGTCTGACACTCCCTCCCGTCTCACCCAGGCGGGAGCAGTCATTCGATGATTTTCCCCCTTAAAAAAACCCCTAATAACAATTTACTTAATTAACTAAAAATCGCGCGTTTTTCGCGTGAAAATATGGGCGTGAGCTTATTGCTACATACCGGACAATTCCAGACTCCGTGCTACGATTGAGATTTGAACCCGATCCGGGAATCGAACCCGAGACCCTTTGCGGTACCCCGAGACGGTGTGCAAATAGACAATTTTTCTTTCTTTCTTCTTTGCCCGGCTGTCGCACTTCCGACCACTTGGCCAACGAGGCAGGCAGTAATTATTTTAATATGATAATTATCTTAATTAATGGGTATAAGTGACTAAACTTTGTCCTAACTTTATCAGCTTAGTTTTTTCTATTTCAACAGTCAAACGGTGTATTGAAAGAGTTATTTCCTGTATTATGACGAAATCTGTTTATCGAAACTCAAAAGTTATAAAAACTGTGTTTATCTTAGAATGATATAATTAAATTGATAGTTTTCTTAATCATGGCGATTGCCTAATTATGTTACAATCAAACCATAGGTAATAAAATAATGAACTAAACCACTATACAATTCAAATTCAATAAAAACAGAATATATATTATATTAGCTTCTGTCAGCGGCTTCGCCCGCGTTTTGTCGAGATAAAAATTTACCTATGTGTTATTACACACTATAATCTACCCCTGTTCCAAATTTCATCTCGATCCCTTCAGCCATTTTGAAATAAAGGAGTATCAAACAAACAAACAAACAAACACAAACATGCATACATACTTTCGCATTTATAATATTAGTAGGATTTAGTGACAAACTCATTTGAGTTTCAATTCAACATAAAATTTGAACCAATTATTGATTTCTATTTCAGTTAATCTTATCCTGCATGGTCCTAGCGACTGCAGCATGGTCGATGCCCTACTACCCAGTACCACAGGGACCAATGAGGTACACGAGGTTTGCCCCACCGCCACCACCGCCTGCTCATCTACGGTTACATCCCCTGCATCATCATCATCATCATCATCAAACTCCTCAACACTTGCAGCCGCAAGCCCAACCCCATTTGCAGCCACAGCATAAGACTCCTGGTAGGTTTTGTTTCTATAATGTCAAATGTATTATCATTTTTAGGTATCATTCAAATTTTTGGCTTTTGTTTTGATGAAAATCAATTGTAAAGAGTTGTCTCTAGCGTACCCATATTTATCACTGAAATAAAATGTATTATAATTTATATTCAGTTCCACAAATTAAGAATGAAAGAGTAACAAACAAACCAATTTTTCCTTTGACAACCAAATCCTGTGTTAGAAAAGTGCCAATTTTGTTTATATTCCACGACGGTGGCAAAAAAGCACACGGCCAACCTGATGGTAGGCGGTTACCGGTGCCTATGTACGCTTGCAACACTTCAAACTCTACAAGTCAACCCAAAACTACTCCAAGAGCCTATTACGTAATTTTTTTTAAGGGGGAATATCATCGAATGACTGCTCCCGCCTGGGTGAGGCGGGAGGGAGTGTCAGACCCTTACTGACTAAAAACCACCCCGTTCCTTCTCCTGCACGTCGAGCTGGAGGCCCGGTTACCCGTTAGGTTCTCCGCGACAGCCTATTACGTAATAGCAAAAGCTGAATCACTTCAACGAATTTCTAAAACAACACAAATTTAAACAATCCGTATTTACCTTTACAGCAGAATCAGCTGACATAGAAGACTCAAAATGGCAACGTCCCAAACGTGGCCACGATGACTATGACCATGATCACGATCATGACCACAAAGATACCAGTGGAGTCACAGGTCCCGTCCACACGTTCGTCAAAACTGACAAGAATGCCAACTACAAATGGGGCGTGAGGCACCACGTGGGGGACAAGTACGCCTCTTAGATCCCAAAGCATCCCTCCAAAATTACTGTTACATTATTTATTTAATAATACTTTTAGATTTAATTGTTGTGTTACTTAATTAGATTTATTTTACTCAAACGTTGTTTTATTGAGTCTACGTGAGTGAATTTTAATTCTAATGCAATTGTGGTACAAAATGCGACGCGAGTAAAATCTGTTGAGCGTGGAATTCGGAATTTAGGTTATCTATGTAATTGGTTGCTTAGGTTCTTGCTCTCGATTTTTTTCCGAATACATTTCGATACATTAAAGTGTACATTGTCCTCTAGACTTTTTATTTAAGATAAGAATAGAGTAGTTTCCTAAATTTTATTTTAATGTCCGTCTGGTACATTAATTTAAAACTTTAGACACGTATTTTTTCTTTTCTCACAAAATAAATACCTTCGACGATATATTTTTTGAAATTTGAAATATCGTGTGACGTCACAGCGTGTCACATTTTGTAGCACATTATGACGTAACGACCTCCCACTCCTAAACTTAGCGCCATTTTATCTACAACTTAATAAAATAAAATAAAAAAATACGTGTCTAATATTTTTTCATTATCTAACCGACGGACTAATTAGGTTTTTAATTTTGATACCCTGGAAACTACCCAATTCACATTTAAGGACTGAGTGATCATTAAATCATTGAATAGAAGCTTCATTCATAACCTCTATTTACAAGTTAAGTTAAAGACAGACGAAAACTAATCCTTACTTATATTATAAATCGGAAAGTGAGTTTGTTTGTTCCGCTTTCACGCCGTAACTACTAAACCGATTGCTTTGAATTTTTGCAGACGTAAAATTAGAAGTCTGGATAAATAATAGCGTACTTTTTATCCCGGAAAAATTAGATATTCCCGAGGGAAAACAAAAGTATTGGTATAGATGGCGCTGTATGTATTGGTATATGTCACATAGGCTACTTTTTATCCCTTTGTGACGCGAGCGAAGCCGCGGGTAAAAGCTAGTAAGAAATAATAGCCATTAACATCTCACTATTTCTTATGCGCATCTTACGTCATTACTCCAATTACAGGGTGTTCACTCAATACACTTGTTCAGTTCTCAGAAAGTGCATACGGCATGGCAAATCTTTCACATTACGCGTTCTCATATAATCGAGTTGTAACTCGGACTTATTCGCTCTACTGGTCGAGTTGACCACGCCCTGTGCGTTAAGTGTTGCAATACCATGTATGTGCTAACGTGACCTGTCACTGATATCGTGGATGATATAATTGAAACTGTATCAGATTTTAAAATAAGCATTCAGAATACGATGTGAGTATTAGAGTACTAACTCCCCAAAAAGACTATGACTTTGTAAGTTTAAAAAAGTTACCACACCCAGTAGATGGGATGAAAATTACCTCTGCTTCAAAAGGCCACGCTGTCAACATATACTAATGAACAACCGAGTACAAGCTAATTTCGAGTACATGTCCTATTATCCAAAAACCATACATATAACATTACGCCTTTTAGCCACTGTACAATGTAACACCCACTTTTCACTATTTATGTTATGAGTCTCATGTAATAGCCTAGCCTATTGCCATATACTGGGCACTTTTCCGGGCTCCGTGCTACTACTGAGATTTTTTTAAGAAATCTTCTAATACTTTGTCTGATCCGGGAATCAAACCCGAGACCCCTTACCCGGCAGTCGTAAGTACCACTCGGCCAACGAGTCAGTCTTATTCTTATACTCTCTATAATTTAAGATAATGACTTAAAGAAATAAACTTAATCAACGCAGAACAAAGTTGACGCATATAAAATAATAGGTACTAAAGAAAGGTCAGATCGCTCTCGATAGGGTAATTATGTGGTCAATATTACATACTCCAAATTTTTTATCAGAAAGTTGGAGAACCGACGGAAATGTTGCCCAAACTGACTTGAACATATTTAAATGGTCATTTAAAGTACTATATGATGCAATATCTACGTCTTTATGTCCCTGTTGATACATCAAAATTGTCATTAACGGCTCGGATTTCCGACCGACCAATTAGAGCATTTTAAATTTATCGGTTGAACTGCTAATGATTGCAAGAAATTGAGTATTTCATTTAATTAAAAGGTTAATGGGATTGAGTGTTTAAGAAATTTTCTTAGGTACATACTTGTGTTATGTGTAAATTTGATAGGCTTCGTTGGAAAACATACGAATTTTTATAACATTGGCTGCATACTATAATAATAACTAAAATAATTATCACTACATAGTATAAAACAAAGGCGGTGTCCCTATGTATGCTTAGATCTTCAAAACTACGCTACGGATTTTGATGCGATTTTTTTTAATAGATAAAATGTTTCTTAAGTTAGGTTTATATGTATAATACGTGCCTATTGCACCCGTGCGAAGCCGGGGTGGGGTGGTAATTTAACTACCTAATATTGATTGACTGCTTCGTTGGCTGAGTGGTCACAAGTGCGACTGCCGTGCAAGGGGACTAGGGTTCGATTCCCGGGTCGGGCAAAGTATTATTGGGTTTTTAAAAAATTGACAGTAATTGCACGGGGTTTGGAATTGTGCCCAATACATGGCAATAGGCTCACCCCCTATTACATGGGACTCATAACATAAATAGTGAAAAGTGGGTGTTACATTGTACAGTGGGGTAATGTGCACCTCTGCCTACCCCATCGGGGATAAAAGGTGTGATGTTATGTAAAAAAGGTGTGATATTAATTGATGATGATGATGATTATGACGATACTAAATAACTTGACTGACTTTGCTGTACTATATTCAGGACATGGCAATTCTATTGACAGTTTAATTCAGGGTTGACCTTGTTCTTATCAATAAAATAACTGTGACATATCATGCGAGAGACTTGTAGTTTAGTAAGTAGGTTTAATGAGCACACGTGCAAAGCTAATTAAAGTACATTACATTCACTGTGTTGGATAACAAAATGGACTCAAAAACTAACGTAATAATAATCTTTATCTCAGTCATGCTCTTAAGCCTACAATTGGGAAAATAACATTCAGAATTCGTCTTGCCTACAACAAACAAAAGTCTTCTCGTTGAGAGTGACATGGTCTCATTACGTCCACGACTAAGTAAGAAAAAATATTTGTTAACCGTTTGAATGCACCGATATGAGACATTATAGAAAATACATTGTCTCGCATGGACCCGCGTTCAAACATACGAACGGTTAAACTGTACTTACTAAGAATCCTTACATATTTTATTGACCCCAAGGAGGAAAATCCTTATGAAGCCCTCTCGCTTGAAGAGGCCGAAAGGGACTATCCCACTCATACTGATGGTTTCAATATAAGTCATAGTAATTACGTTACAGAATCCAGAGTATGGCATGCAAGTCTATTTTTGTAACAAAAATCGCATATTTTTTATCTTTAAGTATTTATTTAGGTACAGGGTTTTTTTCTTAACTCGTCGAGTACCGTATTTATAGACACAGGGTAGACGACTAATTTTTATTTTAATGTCCGTCTGGTAGATTATTTAAAAACATTAGTCACGTATTTTTTATTTTCTCACAGAAACGAATAGTTTGGAAGATATATTGATTTGAAATGTCGCGTGACGTCACTTCTCAGTACATTTTATACTAAGAAATGACGTTTTAGCCCCCACTCCTAAACTTTGATTCGTTTTATCTAAGTATTATTTTATTATACGACAAAATAAAAAAATACGTGTCTAATATTTTTTCATTACCTAACTTACGGACTGATTATATTTTTAATTTTCATACCCTGTCATCATCCCCATTAAAGAACAATAGGTTGCGGTCACCGGTGACCGCTTGGTGTTTGACAGTTTAAAAGAAAGTAACAGGCACTAAAGACACTAAAGAAAATTACAGACCGAAACAATCCTACATACTTATTAAAGAAAAGATATCCATTTCTTTTATCAATACGTATGAATTAACACGACATTATACAAACACTTCATACTTTCACTGTTCCAGTGTTGCCATTACGTATAATTACACATAGATAATTAATTCCTAGTATATTGTCACTGCCTCCGCGGTTTCTAGCTTTTTGTTTGTTCGGTCTGTTGGTTTAGTGGTTTCAATGTTAAGGACAATGTTCTTTTATTGTTACACCATGTAATTATATTTTATGAGTAGCTCGTTTGTCGAGTGATTACAAGCGCCACTATAGAACAAATGGTCGGAAAACATGCACATTAAATTGTTTCAGTATTTGGAAATTTTCAATAACAAGGACTTGAGATGGGAATGGTGCATGGTAAAATACACCATGGTACACTCTCCTATATAACATAACATAACATCACGCATTTTTATCCACGAAGGAGTAGGCAGAGGTGCACATTTCGGCACTTAATGCCACTGTTCAATGTATTTGTAACTGTACATTTTTCACTATTTTTGTTATGAGTCCCATTTAATAGGGGATGAGCCTATTGCCATATACCGGGCACATTTCCAGACTCCGTGCTACTACTGAGATTTTTAAAAACCCAGTAATACTTTACCCGACCCGGGAATCGAACTCGAGACCCCTAGTCGCACTTGCGACCACTCGGCCAACGCCAGTCTCACTCTACTACATGGTAGTCATAACCGGAAAAATTCAGAATAGCAATTAAAATACGAGCGATTAAAAAAAAATCACAAGAATGCTTTACTCAACCATACTTTAAATCCAAAACTCCTTACTTGGCAGACCACTCGGTCAATGTAGTAGTGCAACTAATCAGCTCATTAAACATAAGTATTTTCTTTTCAAAAACCAACGCCTACCTTTACATCGTGAGTGTATCTAAGTCCGTTCTAAATTAGGTTATAACTTACAACTTATAAGTCTCATAACAGCAACTCGTATGTTCCGCAACTCGACCGGTTATCAGTTACATTATGACAAAAACTCGGTCATGTACTGTACAACCTACATATGATAAATGTAGGTACATAATGATTTTGCTCAAAAATGTAGCCTTGTTTAAACTGTGAATGG